TATGTATGTAATCCACACACACAGGTTTTGCTCTTACTCGTGTGTGCGTGTCTGTCTGTCTGTCTGTCTGGGGGCGACTTACTCTCTCTCTCACTCTCTCTCTCTCTCTCTATATATATATGTCCGTGTATCCGTGCACGTCTGTCTGTCTGTCAGTTCGAGAGGGGTGTGTGTGCTGTGTGCTACGTATGGGTGTGCCTACTTACTCGTTTTTCGCCGTCTGTTGTCTATGAGGTGTGGGTGTGGGGTGGCGGGGGCGATGCAATGAGATGCGACAATTAAGGGGTGGGTGTTTATATATATCTATACATCGATCTATCGATCTGTGTTTCTGTGTCCCTGCCTTGCCTTGCCTTGCCTGTGTGTATGTGTGATGTCCTGTTGCCCTCGCTGTGGCATTACTTACTGTCCAACCATGAGTGTGTGCCATGCAGGGAGGCCGACACGACACACGCACCACCACCCACACCAACCCAACACACACACGCCCATCACACACACACCACCACCACCAGCAGCAGCAGCAGCATACACACCCAAGCAGGCAGGCAGACAGACCGATTTGCCTGGGCTGTGGTTGGGTGGGGTTGGGTGAGAGAGCGCGTCAGTCGATCGATTGATCGATTCGTACATACCATAGATGCCATCCATGCGTTTCGTTTATGTGTCCATGTGTGCGTGCATTTGCATGCGTAATTCTTCGTGGCCCTCTGTGTGTGTGTGTGTGTGTGGTGTGTGCCAACCAACGTGTGTGCGACTGACAATGCGGCCGGGCCGAGCCAGCCGGCGGTCGAGTCGGGCGGTCGGTCGGTCTGTTGATTGATGCTGTGATTGCAGTGCCATGCCATGCCATGCCATGTGCGTGAGTGAGTGACCTTTGGCCTTTGCGCGCAACCGCAATCACTCACTCCATACATCAGTCAGTCAATCAATGAGTGCACTTATTATCGCATTGATTTGATGCATGTACCGTACCTCTCTCTTCACCATCCATACACTCACTCACGCCCCACCCAGCCCACACAGACGTAGTGATTGATAAAGAAACACATCCCTTGATGTGATCGACAGACAGAAAAGACACCAGCAGACAGACAGACACGTCACCTCACACAGGGGCAGCAAGCAAAAAAGGCAGGCGGACAGGCCCTCCCTGATTGGGCGGGCCGCGCAAACCACATCATACAATCATGCATCACCGCAGGCATCTCATCTCATCTCACGTCATGTCGCACATACACACGAGATGCGCTTACCGTCACATACACAGCCAGCCCTACCCCTACACACCCTGCACCCAAGGCAGGACGGACGGAAGCAAGGAAGGAAATCAGCGCAAAAAAAGCGCAGCCAGCGCCTCAAAAATCTCTGTCTGTCGCCCTCATCGGCCGACCCGTACCCCACCCACTGCCTCACTCCCTCTCTTACCGACCGTACGCACACAACAGGGGCGCACACAATGAAAGAAGCAAACAAAGACAGACAAGTCGGTCTTCTCTCACCTCCCCGCCGGTCAATCAAAGACATACAGTGCACATCGCACCAATGGGCATGGCAGTGCCCGAAAAAAACAGCGCGAGGCGGCCAGTCGAGTCGTGAGTCAGGTCAGTTGTGTGTGTTGTCGTTGTCGTGCGTGAGCACAATGCGGTAGCCCTTGTGGTCGCCGCTCAACACGCGATCAATCGCCTCGTTGACCTGCAACCAACCACACCAAACCAGACCAAACCAAACACACACAAATCTCCACACCGCCGAGAAACGCCCTCCCTTCTGCTGCTTACCTTGGTGAATGGCATGGTCTCAATGGAGGGCGTCACGCCGTGTGCGGCGGCCACCCGCAGCATCTCCATCGCATCTCGCGTGCCGGCGACAATCGACCCACACACACTCTTCTGCCCGAACACCATCGGCATGAGCGGCACCTCGATCGACGGCGTGTCCTTGGGCGGGAGGATGCTCACGAAGGCCAATTTGCCGCCCGCACGAAGGATGTTCATGTACGCCTGCACTCATCGATGATAGATGGATGGACAAATGGATGGATGGATGCATCAATTGCGATGTGTGTGTGTGTGTGTGTGGTGGGGGGTAGGGGTTAAGGGGATACGTGCCTTGATGTCGATGGCCTCGTGGCAGCAGTCGACGAGCAGATCGCATGTGTTGGCCTGGGCCTCCATCTGAGCGGCGTCGGTGCTCAGCTGCGTGCACAGCATAGCATACACACACAAGACACAGACATAGACAGATGGAGAGACGCACTCACGGTCTCTGTCTTTACTCTCTCCGTCTGGCTGACCACGAATCTGTCCGCCCCCCACTGGCGGCAGTCGGGCTCTTTCCAGGGGCTCGTCGAAAAGACGCTCACCTGCACACACAACCATAGCCAAACACACTTCCACACACATGGCTGCCTGTCTGTCTGTCTGTCTGTCTGGGTGAGTGCATACCATACCTGGCAGCCCATAACTCGCGCAAACTGCACTGCCAGATGGCCCAGCGCGCCCACCGAGATGATGCCCACCCTCATGTCGGGCCCCGTGACGTGCTCTCGCAGGGGCGCGTATACCGTCATACCGGCACACATGAAAGGCACTGCGGAGAGGGGGTCCATTCCGGGTGGCAGGATGAAGGCGAACCGTGCGTCCACGATGGTCTCGCGCGTGAAGTTGCCGCGCATGCTGTTCTCACCCAGGAAGATACCGCCGTAGCCTGACACGAGGAATAGGGAGAGAGATTGTCACACACACACACACACGCACACACGTTTATGTCATTTCGTGACATGACGTGTGGTGGTTATATCCCAACCATACCTTGTCTGCACAGATTGTCCATTCCTCTGATGCACATGTCGCATGTGCCGCAGGAGGAAGTCACCCACCCGATGCCCACGGTGTCGCCGATGTTGTGTGTCTTGACGAGAGAGCCGACCTCTATCACCCGCCCCACACCCTCAATGCCGGCAACCAGGGGGAAGGTGCTCGCACCCCAATCTGCACACACACACGCGCGACAGTACCCATCCATGCATCTCTCCTGTCGGTCTGCAGCCGCTGACTGACTGAGTGACTGACTAACTGACTGTCCTTGGCGAAATGGCAATCAGCAGGGGCAACGCCACACGCATCTATCTGCACACACACAGACATACACATGACATGAGGGATGGATGGATCTGGCAATCTGCCATGGTTTTTGGGCTGCCTGCCGGCGTACCTGCACTCGCACTTGGTGTGGCTGCAGCTCCGGCAGCTGAATGGTCTGCTCCACCAACAGAGCCCCTGCCTCGGCGCACACGAAAGCTCTCGTGGTCCGCTGCTTCAACATTCTGCACGGATTGAGATGTGGTGAGGAAGAAGCGCAGCACCACAACCGGGAAGCATACCCGGGACGAACGGTATCCCAATCTCCCTTTTACAAGCTCGCATTTGACGATCGAAATGCGATGATTTTCCACCCTTTGGTGCTTCTGAGCAGCAGAAGCGCTGCGGCAGACGATAGCAGACGGTATCTGAAGCGGAAAGGCGACCTTCATTGAAAAATAGTAGGGATGGGCGGTATGGCATTCAGAGAGAGGCAGACTGGAGAGAGCATTGCTGACTGACTCATCCAATGTGCCTTCCCTGCTGTGTGTTGTCAGGCTGACGCATCAGTCATCGTCCATCTATCGGGTGATGGCGACTGGAGGTGTGTGCAAATGCATCGTGTGTGAGGAGGAATATCATTCGCGCGGCGACAAGGCCCCGAAAGTATTGAGATGTGGTGAGGAAGAAGAGGCGCAGCCCCGCACCCAACACAGAAGCAAACGTGGCCGTGGCCATGGCTGATGGACGGACGGCATCGGTGTTTGTATTGTGTTGTGTTGTGTTGTGCGCTCTCAGGACATTCATTCTGCGCCATGGTGAGTGGGCGATCGAAGTGTGGGCGACACGACCGCAGTACACGGCGCGGCATCAATCAGATTCTTCCGTGCGTGTCTGTGTGTGTTTCGCTTTCAGTGTGTCGATAGCCTCATTCGCCACCATCCCCACGAGCGTCGTGCAGCCGTCTGCCCTGTCTGCAGGTCGGTCGCACACATTCCCTAGACAACTCATGCCTTGCCTTCATCGACCGACTCAGTGGTTGGACTGACCTTTCTCCACACGTGTGTGTGTGTGTCGATCCAACCAGGAAGGAGACCCCTGAGGCTGACGTGTCTGACAACTACGGCCTGCAAGACGCCGTGGCGATGCAGTGGGCGACGAAGGCCACATTGGCGGCCGACCAGGCGGCCGAACAAATCAAGAAGTAAGTACGAGGAGAATGGAGCAGAGGTGCTGTATGGCTGGTCTGCCTTTTGCAGTCTGGAGGGTCGCGTCGGGGAGCTGCGTCGTGGCGCGGCATCGCTACAGTCGATATACAAGCCACTGGTGCGCTAGCACATTTCACACATGAGAAGCGGTTTGTTCGTCCGCCGTCTGGACGGTCTCTGGTGCTGTGTGTTCTGCGTGTGTGTGGCTGTGCAGGTGGGTGTGCCTGTGGGCAGCTCGCTGGGCGCGTTCGAGTACTACAGCCTGGTGGACATGATGGGGGGCGACGACACGCAGCTGCGACTACTCTACCGGTACTGATGCCCGCACACGCGCACGTGTTATGTGCCATCCCAGCAGCACTTACTGTAAGTCTATCTGCTTTGTGTATGTATGTGTCGCAGGGCCTCTGTGGACGGTCCCACGTATGACGATCTGGTCGACAAGGTGGGCAGAAAGCGGCCCTTGGTGTTCATCATCCAGAAGGGCCGCTACAAGTTCGGCGTGCACGTCAGTGACGGCCTCCACCTGTCTGGCCGGACCGACATCGCTGCCTACTGCTGTGATGTGTGGTACTTGTCGCTGGCCGGGCACTTCCCCAGGTCCACCGAGATCGACATGGGGTGTGAGTATGTGGAGGTGGCGGGGGCGGATGCGGCTGCGGATGGCCTCGATGGCTACGCGAATGTGTGCATAGGGGAGCACCTGTATCTGTGCTGGGGTGGGCGCGATGGCCCTGCTGCCGACATCCGCAGCTGCAGTCAGCTCCTCCCTGCCGACGATGTGCCTGTGGGCTACACGGGGAAGATGAGGCATGGCTATGCGGTGCTGGGGGGGACTCGCGACTTCGTAGCTGACGACGTGGAGGTGTTGAGTCTGGCGCGCAGTGAGTGAGCCGAACTCTACCCCTCATGGCCGTCTCTCTGCCTCTCTGCCTGTCTGCCTCTCTGCCTGCCGCCTGTTTGTCTGGGTGTGGTGCATGGGTGTGGAGTTCCCTTGGTGCGCTTCTTTTCAATGCGGCTTCGCATCTGCGTCCAGATCTGCGTGCTCTTTCCTTCCTGTACATATCTATACACGTTGTATATATCCGTCTGTCTATCTGTCGTCTCGAGCTCTGTCGGTGCATGTGCCTGTCTCAGTACGTACGTACATACACATATACCTACAGGTGTGCGTGATGGGATGTGCAGATGAGATGTGGTGGGAAAGGTGGCGATCGTTGACCGTTAAACAGCCGTTATCCGCCTTCTTTGACTTCCACGATGTCGTATCTGATCAACAACGTGACGGTAGGGGTGGTGTCGTCCATCCCCTCATCCATGTGCTCCTCCCTCCCCTCACCACAGCTGCCCGCAGCACCCTTCGCCTCGCCGCCTGATGCGGAACACGAAACTGGGGGTGGGGCGACGCAGGGACAGGAGCAGGAGCAGGAGAATCCAGTTGGGCAACAGACCGGTGAGCACATGACATGCAGCCGGGGAGGGGAGGGCACACAAACACACCTCGTGCGCCATGGATGTTGTGTGTCAGCAGAACTCGGGGGTCTCACGGATGAAGCAGGGCGAGAGGGCGAGGGGGCCGAACAGGAAGGTGACCAACGCCCTTGCAAGAACCAAAAAACACCTGCCCCACAGGCCGGTGTGCATGGCACTTCTCGCAGATAGAGAGGCAGACAACAACAACGAGGCCGAGCCTGAGACGAATACCCAGGGGGGAGATCGTGCACAGGAAGCCGAGCAGCAGAACACTGACGAGCAGCGTGTGGAAGACCAGCAGGGTGAGGGACGGCGCCCTCCTTCCCCGCAGGCACAGACAGGTATGCACTCTCCTCGTCTCTTCTGTGCGGCAGGCGAGAGCAAAGAGGGCGAGACAGACAGAGAGGGAGGCGGTGGACAGGCCAGCCCCGACGACGACAACCAGATAGGAAGCACTGACGAGCACTTGGAGCAGCATGTGACTGGTCAGCAGGGCGGGGCGCTGCACACCCAGCGGCATAGAGATTAATTGATATTACCTTCCGTCCTCTGTCTTGCTGGTGTCTCTCCGTGTTGGCAGGGCCCCTCGGCGGGCAGCAGCCGGCGCCTACAACACGTGTTGCCCCTGCAGTGATCTCACACCAGTACTATGCCCACCCGATTCGCCACGCAGGACCTCACTCAGTCGTGATTCCCGTAGGCTGCTGCATGCACTGCACGGGGACCTATTATCCATTGCCGTGCTGTTGTCTGTCTGGTCTGCATGATGCCATCAGCTCCAGCACGTTGTGGGTTTCCCTCCCCCATATGTGGTCGGCGGCCGTCCTGTGTTTCCTGTGGTCCACAGGCCGCCGTTCCACCACTATCGTCTGGTCGGTCTGTGCAAAAAGAAAGACCCACACACGCAGAGAGAGTGTTGGCTGGCTACGTGTTTTGTTTGTATTTTCCACAGGCTCCACCCGGCCAGACGGGCACCATCCCGACGTACGCGAGCGTCACACAGCCGGCCATTCCCAGACGTACGTACGGGGCCACACATGCACACGCAATCATTGTGCAATCAATGCTTCCCTGTCTGTCTGTCTGTCTGTCTGCTCTCTTCATCCCCCCACCCAGGCAAGTCGACAAAGAAGAGCTGCGGCTGCTCTCTGTGGTGATGTGTGGTGCGGTCGGTGTGCCACACTCGTCCTTCTCGGTGGTCCTTATGTGCTTTGGATTGGGAGCTTGCACTGGCGCGGCGTGTAGTGAGTAAGCTTAAGCTTTTGGACACTGAGGCATAGATAGGATAGCTAGGCTGTGGGCGATATATATTAGGTGGGTGCTGTGGCGTTGTAATTTTTGACGTACACATGATAGATATGCTAAGTTGCCCTGTGTGAATGGGCAACAGAGGCGGACAGACAGCTTAGGCATTCAAAGACGTACGTACGTACGTACGGGGTGAGTGGGTGGGTGGGTGGGTGAGAGGACTGACTGAACAACGTGGACTGAATAACGGTCATTCGATGAACCAACCGCTGTGTAAGGATGGATGGATGGATGTCTCCTACGCGAGACAGACATGTGTTCTCTCGCAGATCGACATGTTGACGCACCCACGCACGCAACTCAGTCCCTCCCTTTAAACACCCACCCCAAAAGGCACTCACTCTCACATGCACACGAGTGGATAGTCTTGGTCTGCCTGTGCTGTCTGTCTGTCTGCACACTAACCCAAGAAAACCGCCCGCAGGTCGACAAAAGCCGCCCACCCCCTCACCACACCGCACCACACGCGCACCCACGCACGTGTGCACGCATGGCATGATGCACACAGAAATAGAACCCAACCGACCAACCAACCGACCGAGGTGTGTTTATTCACGCACTGGCTGCACTGACCATCACCTGATCGCCCCCCTTCCCCTCCCCCCCTCCATCTTCATCCCCATTCCCATCTTCATCTCCATCGTCCTTGTCCTTGTCGTTGTCGTCCTCTTCCTCTCCTGCCTCCTCGCCCTCACTATTCTCTTGGACAGCCGCATCCTCCTCCTGTCTGGCCCTCTTGGCAGCCCTCCTGTCAGTCTTGGCGGCCTTCACAATCGCCTCCAGCACATCACGCTGGGGACCCTCACACCCTCTCGGCGCAAACGATGATGGCCGGCGAGCACCAGTAGCGGCGGCAGCGGCACGAGCTGCCGGCATGTTGGATGGTGCTGCTGATGGTGCTGGGAGGGGTGGGGGCTGCGGGGAGGATCGGGGATGGCCGCTGCATGACATAGACAGACAGCCAGAGGGCACGGGAGGTCAGGCGTGTTGTGTGGGGTGTGTCTTCCTACGTGTGGTGGTGTCTCCTTTGCATGTCTCTGAGTAGGGCAGACGGGGGGGGCAGCAGGTGACTCGCCGTGTCGCCCACACATAGCCACACAGGGGGACCCTGCATAGAATGGAACCACACATGGAATTGATAGATAGGTCTGCCCAAATGTGTGTATGTGTGTGTGTGTGTGTGTGTGTGTAGCGCCCACCCTCTCCAGGTGTTGGCTTCGCGCGGCGAGGCGCTGCTGATGGAACGACGACACAAGAGACATTGACGGCACCGGCGCCTTCGCAGACACACAGACAGGAGAGAGAGATGCAGCACACGGTGAAGCACGCGGCACCCATATGCACAGTTGTCGCATTCTCACCTCGCTGTCTTCGGCTTTATTCTTCTCCCGCCGTCGAAACAGCCGGCCGAACACACTCAGACCTTCAAGTTGCCCCTTCCCCTCATCTGTCGGCTCCTCACCCGCCTCGATGGCAGCCGTGACCCCTGCCGGCCCTCCAAGCACGTCGCAGGACACCCACTCGTATGTGTCCATCAGCACGTGCAGCACGCTCCCGTCAACACACGCGTCAAGACACGCACGCGCGCCGGGCAGGCTGCCTCGCCACACCACCTGTGTGTCCATGGAACACGCCGATGAGAACTGTGGCCGCAGGAGGGCCTGCAGAAGCGCATGTGGCTGCTGCGTGTGCTGGCTCTCCTTGCAGCAGACTGTGTGGGCTTCGAACAGAGAGGGCGCCATGCCGATGAGGAGGAGGGACGAGTGGGAAGAGGGAGAGGGCAGCAGATGGGTGACGGCCGCGGGGAGCTGGATGGTGGTGGCTACCGTCATTGTGAGCAGGTCCCACAGCACCACGGTGCCTACCGCCGTACGATTGCGGTTGTGGTTGTAGGCCACCGCCAGGCATAGCAGCGACGGCCCCTCGACGAAGGCCACGGAATGGATCGCCTGACAGATAGATATCACAGAACGGACACATACATGCAGAAATGAGCATCTTCCCACACCACACAGGAACCAACCAACGGACCTCTTGGCTTGCCCCGCACGTCATGGTCTCACTGACGTCCCACTGGTCACCTGCACCAACACAACACACATGCACACACACACGGGCAAATATTGTGAAGGCCGCAAGGCGAAGGCTGCTTGCTCACCGTCTGTCTGCGCCGCCCAGAGGCTCACACAGCCGCGGCTGTGCCCGAGGGCCAGGAGGGAGCCATCGGAGGAGAAAGCAGCACCTGATCAGGTGCACAGAATAAGTGTGAGTGGAGCATAGTGCAGGTGCAGACCCCCGCCGTGTGCGTTGATCGCGTGCGCACATGTGATAGGTATGTTCCTGAAGGTGTTGACAGATGACGGGGCGAAGAACGGAGTGCTGCTGTTGGCCGAGGGGAAGGGATGCCACACCTGACCACACACACCATGGCCACACACACCATGGCCACACACACACACACACACACGTGTGACATCCGGGGTGCACGTTGGCTACTCCATGCCCACGTGCCTTGAATGTGCCATCCGCTGATGTCGTGAGGAAGCAATCGGGACTCTGAAAGACAAGATCCAACAGCACCCCCACACCCATCCCATGTAGATGTGATGTGCCCTGACCGACGTGTGTGTGTGTGTGTCCCGTGTGAGCGCACCATCGGTCTCGCGAGTGCCATTGTGATGTGTTCCTGGTGGGCCAGGTCCACACGATTGACGAGCCGGTAGCCGTAGTCCGACTGCTGGGACCAAAACTTGACCACTGACACACACCGGGGGTGGGGGCTGCAGAGCATTCAATACGACCACACGCAAACAAGAGACAGAGAGATCGCATCAAATCAATCGGCACTTGTGTAGATAGACGTGTTAGTTTATGAGTGCGTGTGTGTGACCGTTCTTCCCGTCTGGTCTCGACGGTGAGCATGTGTTGACGGTCAGGCGAAAGGCACGCCTGCTCGACCGTCCACTTGATGCCCTCCTGCTCGTCGACCCGACTCACATACATCCGACCTGCACACACACATGACATTACCATTACATGACAGGAGGACTCACACGTGTGTGTGGAGGAAATGTGTCTGTGTCTATCCCACGCACCTCTGGCCATCTCGACGTGCCCCCTGTGCTCGTCGGCCGTGAGGGAATAAAACTGGACACGTGAGGGATCTGCCCACAGCATGACGGTCGTCTCGGTGTCTGCACAAACAGACCACCATCCATACATCCATCCATAAGTGCGACCGCATAAACGTATGACCACAGAGCGACGCACCTGCCGCTTGTGTGCGTGGCAGGGCATCGCAGACCCGCCTCGTCCCTCTGGTCGCAACCAAGTCGGGTGTCCGCCCACCCCCACCCACACCCAGATCGACGCCATAGATGCTTTTGGCGATCTTCCACTGAGGGATGTCCACCACCCGCACACAGTTGTTGGCCAGACACAAGGCCACCTGCGACCCGTCATCGGCCACGGCCATCTGCAGGATGGCGGCGCCCATCCGTGGCAAAGACTTCCTCTCGTGTGTGGTCAGGTTCCACATGCACAGCACCGCCTCCTCGCCCGTCGACAGGATGCTCTCCGTTCCGCTCACGTGCGCCAGCGACGACACGGCATGGGCGTGCCAGTGCTGCATGCGGACCGACGACCCGCCCGCCTTCTTGTCGACCGTCAGCATGTGCATCACGCCCTGCCTGTCGCCTGTGATCACCACATCCGTGTCGGGCCGGATCATTATCGACACGATCGGCTGGCCGCTCTTGTGCTTGGTCAGGTGGCCGTCAGCCGAAAGAACCAGCACGCGTCTTCGTGTCGCTGCGGCCACGTAGGAACCGTCCCCACGGATGGCCAGGCGCCTCAACGGGCCGTGGGAGCCTGGGGCTGACAGCACGATGTGGCCGCTGGTGGACCGATGGCTGATGGTGAGCTGATAGACAAATGAGGAAGGGGTACCGTCGTCACCAACATCACCGTCACGGTCGTCTGCCGCACTCATGTGCTGGTGGTTATCGTCGCTTTCAACGGCCGCCTTGCCGACGATGAGAGCATAGTACTTCCTCTCCTTCGCTGCGAACTGCAGGTCGAGAATGGGCGCCTCGAGGTCATGCGTCGTCAGCAGGGCATGGTCGCTGCTCCACAGACACAGCGTCCCATCAAGCTCAGCGGTGATCCAGCCGTTGTCGGCAGAAGGGCAGACGGCAGTGATGGGCATCTTGTGTCTGTCGGTCAGCTTGGCCACTCTCTTGCCGGTCTTGGTCGAGTAGATGACGGCATCAGTGACACACGCGCATGCGAGGAGGGAGCCGTCCAGAGAGAATGCCGGTCGGATGGCCGTGATGCATCCCCCAGAGGTGCGGGTGAAGGGCCTGACAACGGCAGGGACCATCGGCTGGTCTTGCTGCTCGTCCGGGGGTGGTTCATCTCGATGCTCATCTGATTCATTCATGCTGGTCTTCTCGGCTGTCGCCATTTGTTGATCTGGGACGGCAACAGCGTGGACGAAGCTGCGAAGTCCATTCGTGTCGGTGTATCTCATGGCTGCTCGAGAGCTGTAAGCCCATTCGCCTCGCCCTCCCTTCGACAGATCTGCTTTTCCAGCTCGCAGGTCCAGAAAAGCTCGCGGGATGGAAGGGAAGGGGCAGGGGAGAGGAGGACCTTACCACCTTCCGCAGAGACGCACACACAGCCGGGAGGTGAGCAGAAGACTTACATGGCGAGATGACTCATGTAAGGCACTCTGCGTGCATGCAGGCCATCCATCCATTCATTCATTGATGCACTCGTTGGTCCACGCACACGTCCATCATGACGCACATGCACATCCATCGTCACCGTCCATCACGAATGATCGCTTCGCTTCCTGTCTGTTTGGTGGGGCGTCCGGCCGCGCAGATACATATGTATGTCGTATGTGATCGAAGACGAGAGAGAGTTAGAGGGTGGAGTGAGCTGCCTGTCTTGTCTTCCACCAGCCATCAGATGCGGACACACAACACGCGCGCAGACACACAGACAGACAGACAATACGCACCCTGAAGCATCTGTGTAGTAGAGAGGTAGAGAAGGGGCCTGGCTCAAGGTGGCCTGCCTGTCTGCCTATCTATCGGAGGGGCTGTGGTCGGTCGACTGAGGGTGGTGGGCGAGGTGAGGGCAAGACAGACAGACAGACAGACAGACAGACTCGGTAGTCGATAGGCTGGCTGTGGTGCTCGCTCCAGCGCACTGCGTGCCCGTGACTTTGGTGTCCATTCATTCACATCACACACACGTCACACGTATGTATGTATGCATTGTATCCATCCACCCGTCCGTCCATTTAGCACAGCAATCCATTCGCTCGGCCGTGCACAGCAATCCATCACGCAGCCCCTCAGCTCACCTCACCCGACCATGGCTGTGAGTGGGTGCGTGATCCCATTCACTCATTGATGTCACTCACTGTCTGTCTGTATGCATACCAACCGGCCATCAGACAGACAGACAGACAGTCTGTCTGTCACGACAAACACTCCCACACAGCCAGCCACTTGACCCCCCATGTGCACATACACCCCCCTGCCAGCCCTCGTCAGTTATCCCATCACTGCCCCTTTCCTAAAGCTAACTCATGGAGCGGCTGAAGAACAGAGCAGCAATGGGCTAACTAGGCTGTCAGAGGTAGTGTAATGTGCGGGGTGGCTCAGTAGTGGTACTGGGTGCGCGGCTTGAGGCAGCGCTCCGGGGGCTCCTCGAGCTCGCCAACCAGAGCCACGAAGTCAGCTTTCTTCTGAACACGTCACACACACACAGATGGATAGCTATAAACACATTTGTCCACTGATCACGGGCGTTGCGTACGTTGAGTTTGTCTCTCATGTTCTTGATTTGTTCGCCACGCTTATCCCGATCGGCCCCCATCTGCAGACAGACATAGACACAAACACACATCTATGGTGCACACGTGTGTGGCGGGGTGGGGTGTGTCGGCTGCTTACAGTCGGCAACGCTTCCTCCTTGACATACGGCCCGCACACGTCCTACACACACACACACATAGTGGGCTGTGTATGTGTGTGTCCCGGTTGGTGTGTGAGTGTGTGGCTTACGGGGTATCTGGAATAGAAGCCATTGTATCCCCCTCTCAACAAGTACATGTGCTCGTATTTCTGCACCACACACACACACACACACACACGTTTGTGGGTTTAGCTGTCCGAGGGCCCCACCCACACAGCCGCCCACCTGGTTGTTGGGCGCATTCCAGCCGTTGAAGTTCTGCAGCATCTGCAGGAGCACCACGGCGCGCTCCTGGGAGTACTCGCAATGGAAAACCAATTTCTGACGCACACAGACACACACACATGGATGGCCGTGGCTCTGTGTGTGTGTCCTGTCACGACCCACCTGACGGTGCGGCTCGGGCAGTTTGGCGGCCCCGTTCTTATCCCACAACGCATCGATGACGCCCTTGACCGACTTGACGTGGCGGGCCCCGGCAATGTGCCCGCCTGCAGACACCATTGCAATGACACAGAGTGGGTGTGTGTCCGGCGTGTGTGTCGGTGGTGGGCCTGGTTGAGTGCAATGTCTGCGGGCGTACCGTCGAACTCTCCCTTGAACCGTGCGTCCCAAACGTGCAGGTAGGGCGACAACTCCGGGCTGTCCATCGCCCGCTTCAACTGCACACACAGGGACAGGGGGATGAGGCATACCCAGGACATGTGTGTGCCCCGTCTGGCTGCGCTGCCGGTCAGTCAGTCGCCTCGCCCACCTCATCAGGCCGGATGTTGGTAACGTTCTTGTAGTTCGAGTCAACCCGCAACCCACGAGACGCGGGATGTTGAGGGGCACCCTGCACCCACACACACACACACACATCACACACACACACACACCAATGTGTGAAGGTATGTGTTTGGTGGTCGTGTGGTCGCTGCTCCTCCCTCCCTCACCTGAGGAGGAGCGTTGCCCGGCTGCGGCGCGTGGAACATGCCCGGCGGCGGCGTGCGGACCATATGGGCGTTCTCATCCTCGTCCATCGCCATGGGAGGTGCCCGCGGCGGTGAGGGGGTGCGGTCCCTGCGATGGTTGCCGCCGCCTCGGTTGCCACCCTGACACAAACACAACACAGTCACGCGTGTCGGTGGTAAGGCTTCAGGTGCCCATGTATGTCAAAGTGGTGAGCGTAGCGTACCCTCGGTGGGTTCTTCCTCTTGGGTGCGGGCGGAGCCTTCTTCTTCTGCGGTGCCTTCTTGCCAACCTGCACGCACATCCACACATCCACACACACAGACATTCATGAGTGAGTGAGTGGTGGTCGCACGTGGATGAGAGGGTGGAGGCGATCGCCCACCTTTTTGTCTACGACGGGCGTCATGGGCTCGTCGGGTCCGTCGTCAACGACCATCTGACCCTTGCCGGCAACCTGATTCACACACACACACACACACGCCGTCCACCGATGCTCTCTGCATCCATCCATCCATCCATCCATGTGTTATGCTCACTTTGGCGATCTGACGGGGCGGCTTGGGCTTGGGCTGGGCAGCTTTCTTCTGCAGCCACACATCCGGCGCATTAGAGGCACAGAGGGCAGGATAACTGTGGCTCTCGTCGGTGCAGTGCAGCCCACTCCCTCACCTTGGCGGCTCCCCTGCCCCGTCGAGCAGGCGCCTTGACCTCCTTGGGACTCTCATCCTGCTTCACTGCGCCGCCAGCTTTAGCCGCCAGACGGCTGCTCCGACGCGCCATCGCTACGCGACACTCACGACAAACTCACGGCCTCCTGCACACACACAGAGGATTGCAAAGTCGCCATCGGTGAACGCACTCGTGCAGCTCGCCTTCATGGGGACCTCACCGTGGCCTCTGAATCACGAGCTATGAATGACCCTCTTCTAGACTGCCGAGTACCCCGAGAGCGGTGCTCTCACCACACGCCAAGAATGCTCCAGCACTGCATGCGTAAGGGAAACGTTCGTTGTGGAGGGAATGCGGGCTGCTGCCTTCCCTGTCGCGCCCTGCCGCCCTCACCTGTCCTGCTGGTGACCGAAATGCCTCCAAGTCGTGCGCTCCGCCACTCGTCAACTGCTGCTGCAGGCCTCCCCGCGATAAAGGGACGCAAAGCTATCTTCCACCGGTCGATACGGTTCCTCACTGAGGCCCTCTCTCGCCAAACACGGGTTTGCAGGGCCACGATAACCTTTCAAGTTCGCAGCAGCAACAATTTCATGGAGCACCCTAGCGGCTGACGGCCAAGTTTTCGACTTCAAGCTGGCAAAGTCAAGGGCGAGGCAGGGTCTTGGCTGTCGTAGCGATACTCAAGTCTGGACAGACCATCGGCTGCCCGCCATCCGCAAGAAGACACACAGCGGACCGCCACGACGATGGACGAGAGGGAGAAGAAGACGTGCCGGCAGCCTATGAACATTCATCGCAATAACTGTAAGCGGGTCGGGAGAAACGGCACGCCTGACGCTATGGCATCTCCTGCGGTTGTGTGTCTGTGAATCTGCAGGAAGCTGGAGGGGCGTAGCTGATCCCTGGTGTGTTTGTGTGTTGAGCGATGAACGGCCCGCCAGCCAAAGCCCCGCGCACGGCCCCTCCGGTCCAGAGCGATGACCACCCGTCCAGCCTCACCGCGCGGAGAAGCCTCACGAGCCTTCTAGATGGGCTCATCTGGCTCAACGTGTCATCGTATCAGTCTGTCAAGGAGCGCCTGGCGATGAGCTGCGTGTGCCGGGCCTTCTACTGGTCCATCTACTCACTGATCCGGATCATCAACTGGCACCGCCCCAACCACGGCCTCAGCTGCCAGGGACCGGGCGGCAGCCTGGTGACGTTCGAGCAACAGCAGCACGCCGTCATCCTGCTGCCCAGAGAGGAGGAGGTCGAGGAGATCGGCCGGGCGCGGCTCTCTGCCTTCGTCTCTCTGCAGCTTGTCTTCCACACCGACACGCTCAAGGCCATCCAGACGACACAAGCCAAGCAGCAGCGAGACGGGAATGATGATGCCGATCAAGAGGCGAGTGGCCTGCTGGTGGCGCAGGTCAAGGGGCCCGACGCGGTGTTTCCCTCGGTCACGTCGGTTGAGGTGGACAGCCTCGACGGACTGCATCTCTTCCAGCAGCAGAAGCTCGTCTGCCCGGCACTCGACCGGCTCACCGGCAGGGTCCTCTCTGAGGACGAGACAAACTTCATCGCAAGCGACTGGGACTTGCGCCCGTCCCTTGCGGCCAAACGGGCATCCATGCGCAGTGCGTTTGATGGCAGTCTGGCGTTCGTGCTGGGCTCGTCCCCCGCCCTCAGCCACCTGGACATCTTCCCACTACTGTGCTGCGGTGTCTACTTGAGCAGCAACTGCGAGGTGCCCCTCACCACCGCTGCCCTCCCATCGCTCAAGAACCTGCGCCACGTGGGCCACCTCAAGCTGTGGGGCGGGAAAGTGGAGACCAGCAGGGTGGTGACGTTGCTGCGCCAGCTGACG